ACCGTTCTTTGATTTAAACTATGCAGCATCTCCTTGTTTTGTTTGCACAACTGCCTCTTCATGCATGTACAGTTTCCTCATGAGCACAATGAAGTGTCCGGGAATTCTCATTCTTCATGTTATCCATCGTTTGTTATTATCCCACAATTGAATGCCTTTGCATGGTTAGTAAGACACAGGTAAACATCTTTATGGTATTCTCTGCTTTCAACCAATATCCATGTGACATCAGCAGTGATAGCCTGCATTCCAATTCCGTTTCTGAATCCAGCTTGAATTTCTGGCAGCTCTCTGTCAGTGTGCTCTTGTAACCACTTTTGAATTATCTTCAGAAGAATTTTACTTCATGTGCTATTCAGTGATTTCCACATTCTGTTGAATCACAACATGGACATAAATATGGATCACTTCCAGTTAGTTGGACAGGTAACTGTCTCCCAAATGTGTTGGCGTAGACTAGTGCTTTCGGCGCTGCATCAGTTTGTTGAAACATTTCAGTTAGTCTTCCATCAATTCCTGGAGCCTTGTTTTTCATTAATGCTTTCCGTGCAGCTTGGACTTCGTTCAACAGTAACATCAGTGCTTGATCACATGCTACATCCTGAAATAATTGAACATCGACCAGTTCTCTTCGGTACAGTGAATCTGTATATCCCTTCCATCTTCAGATATGCCTTGCATTGTTCAATGTTTTGCTTGTGTTGTGTGCCATTGAGTCGGTTGTGATTCACAGAAACACAATATAGGGTTTATGAGAATGGTTGTTGGGTTTGAACTGCCAACCTTGTGGTTATAAGTCCAGTTCTTATCTTACAATGCAATTGACACCAGGACTCATTTATCTTATAGAATCCTTCAATATTGCAACTCAGGCTTTTTTTTTTCCCCCCTTTGTTTTTGTTTTTTCCAGCTTGAGCAATGCTTAGTGTGTTCTTTCCTTTGAATTTTCTGATTCCAGGTCTTTGCACATTTCATTATAATACTTGTCTGTCTTCTTGAGCTGCCCTTTGAAAGTTTCTTTTAAGCTCTTTTACTTTCTCATTTATTCCATTTGTTTTAACTACTCTGTGTTCAAGAGCAAGTTTCAGAGTCCCTCTGACATCCATTTTGGTCTTTTCTTTCTATCCTATTTTTTTTTTCAATGACCTTTGTTTTCTTCGTGTATGATGTACTTGATATCATCCCACAACTTCTCTGGTATTCGGTCATTAGTGTTCAGCATATCAAGTCTCTTCTTGTACTAGTCTCTAAATACAGGTGGGATGTACTGAAGGTTGTGTTGGGCTCAGAGTTTCTTCAGCTTGAGCATGACCTTGCATATGAGATATTCCATGTGGCCCTTGGTCTTATTTGGCTGATGATACAGAGCTTCTCAATCATTTCTTCCCACAGTTGTAGTGCTGTGTTTTCAGTCTGGCCAGGACCACGTATATAGTCGCTGTTTATGTTTACAAAAAAGGTATTTTCAATGAAAAAATCCATCATGCAAAATTCTACCGTGAGATGACCAAATGTATTTATATCACTAAGGCCGTATTTTTTAACTACTGATCCCTTCTCTTTGTTTCCAGCTTTCTCATTCCGATTACTAGTAATTATCAATATATCTTAATTGTATGTTTGATCAATTTCAGATTGGAGAAATTGGTAGAGTTCTTTAGTTTCTTCATCACTGACTTTAGTGGTTAGTGTATATATCTGAATGCTAGTTGTAATTGTACAAGGATTTCTTAACTACAAGTATATCCTACAGTTAAGAAAACCTTGTGTAGCAGTTGTATTCTACATGGGGTCACCATGAGCAGAAATTTACTTAATGGCAACAGGTTTTTTTGGTTTAGGTTGTTTAGTGCCATCAAGTCGATTCCAACTCATTGTGACTTTTTTTTTTTTTCTTGAAGCTTCATCTTTCTCCTACAGATTGGCTTGTGGGCTTGAACCAATGACTTTATAGTTTGCAGTCCAGTGTTTATCATGTGGAGTCACGGGTTTGCATAGGTTGGCAGTATTTGTAGTATAGTAAGTGTGCAAATTATATTTAAGGTATATCTTCTAAAAGATTTCTGACTATAGCCTTTTAATACATAGAATTTCCCATGCCTGTGAAAAGAATTATTAAAAACTTTTGATGAGTCTATAATCCATCAGAGTCCTGGTGTGGCACTGTGGGATACTGTACTGGACCACAAGGTCAGTTTGAACCTCAAGGTTGGCGGTTCAATCTCATCAGTAGTTCCTCGGAAACCCTATTCAGCATTGCTGTAAGTCAAAACTCAATGGCGCTTAACAACACAATAATCCATTGGATGTTTCTACTCAGATTAATCATTCCCCTGTTGGTGCCTCTGTTAGTCTAGTGGTTAGGAATTGGACTGCAAACCTTAAGGTCAGCAGTTGGAAACTACCAACTCTTCCATGGAAGAAAGATGAGACTTTCTGCTCCCATAAAGATTTACAGCATCGGAAACCCTGCACAGGGTTGCTATGAGTCGGAACCGACTCCATGGAACCTAACCGCCACCACCTGTTGGTGACAGCAAGCGACCTCACATATCTGAAACGGTTCGAATACTGTCTTATACAGAGTGTAAACACTGTGCTAATATAATTTTAAGGCTTTTCATTTATTTACATGCCAAATAGACGTACGCAGTAGTCTCCTATACTTATTACTGCTTTCTGCCAGCTTGATTGTTGTCATTTAATAAAGGAACTGGCTTGGAGGAAGGTGTATAAGGAGGATTGGGAATGACTTGATTTTAGATTATAAATATCTGAGCAACAGACTTACTAAAATAGAAAACAAATAAATTGTGAATATTGTTCTAATATAAAGTTTAAAACATGACATTAGGCTGTGTCTTGATTTAAAATTGAATAATTGTATAGAAAGAATCATTTATGTTTTTATATCTTAAAATACAAGGCAAAATCAAGCTGTGCTTTTAAACCTTCCTGGAATTGTTCCATTACAGTAATAGCTTGGCTCCATCCTTTTGAAGGTGCTAATTGGAAACATAAAATTTTATGTTTAAGTAAATATAAGACAGTTCTTTCAGAACGTGTTGTTGTTTTAAGTGCCGTTGAGTTGGTTCCAACCAATAGCGACCCTTAATAGGTTTTCCAAGGAGCAACTGGTGAGCTTGAACCACTACCGACCTTGTGGTTCAAACTGACTTTGCAGATATTAATTACAATTTTTAAAGTACTTATAGTCACAAAGCTAGGGTCAGTAGTCACTAGAATGAACATGTGTTGGCTAATTTAATGCAGAATCAAATGATAGCTAACAAAATTGACTCTTTTCTGCTTCTTTCTTTTAGCATAAAGATTCCTATCAGATTATACTGGATGGTGTGAAAGGTGGTACCAAGGAAAAAAGATTAGCTGCTCAGTTTATTCCAAAATTCTTTAAGCATTTTCCAGAATTGGCTGATTCTGCTATCAATGCACAATTAGACCTCTGTGAGGATGAAGATGTTTCGGTAAGTTTATGAGTGAAGATTTGAAAAGTTTCTCCTGAAATTCTGTGCAGCTAATGAGAGTGCTCCTTATGTCAGTGCAGAGTAAATACTGCAGTGATGTCTGGCACAACATCAGTCTGGGCTCATTGGGTACGTTTGAGAGCCCCCTTTCTACTGTGAAAAGGCATACCTGGTCTTCATTGTTAATTCTATCAGTTTGTTCTTGCTTGGATATTTAATTAAATAATTAGTAATTTTACCCTGAAATATAACTTCTTGTTGTTGTTTTTCGTGGAGTCGGTTCCGACTCACAGTGACCCTGTACAGGGTTTCCGAGGCTGTAAATCTTTATGGGAGCAGAATGCCTCATCTTTCTCCCGCGGAACAGCTGGTAGTTTTGAACTGCCAACCCTGAGGTTAGCAGCCCGATTCGTAACTACTACGCTACCAGAGCTCCTCAAAACAAATTAAGCACACCTAAATATTTCACATGGCGGAAAAAATAACTGGTCTGTGTAATAATTATATGATTGCGAAAATAAATACTTTGTCTATTCAGTGGAACAGACTTAACTATTAGCATATCTGACCATTAATCCAGGTTTCTAAGTATTTTCAATACTTCATTACCTATTTTTCAAGTGAATTGCATGAATCAAGTACGATTTATTGGAGATAAACCCTGTACATTTTTATATAAAATTAAGTAAACCATTATAAGTATTCAGAATTAAGTGCATAGAAAACATTTGTGTTATATAAACTAGTCGTATGAAAAATTGTAAAATGAAGTTATTAGTCCACAGTAATTACTATTAGTGGGTGATAGTGTAATATGCCCAAAGACAGTAAAACCCCAATAATTGTATTTCCATTGTTTATCATCTCAAATCTACATTTGAGGAAATGTATTAGCTCTGGTACCGTAGTGGTTACGAATCGGGCTGCTTACCTCAGGGTCAGCAGTTTGAAACTACGAGCTGTTCCACAGGAGAAAGATGGGGCTTTCTGTTCCCGTAAAGATTTACATCCTCGTAAACCCTGTACAGGGTTGCTGTGAGTCTGTACCAACTGCACAGCACACCACCAGCATTAGCTCTTTTGCTTCCTTTTAAGTGTGAAAATGTATAGTTTTGCTTGTTAAAAACAGTTTTGTTTATATTCTTCTGTGAGTTGTGTCAGAACCCACTTTGTATCAACTTTTCAAAACCTAAGTATGTTGATGATTATTTCATGACTGATTTGCAAATGATTTGCCACATAATCCACTATTACTCATCCATTTAACAAAGTCATTTCACATGCACGCTCAGTGATATCATCAGCCATGGACTTGGACAGGCGTTTTAATATAACTGCAGTGTGGATAATTTATGATTCATCCTCATAAATGTGAAATTAGATTAAAATTAGTTTTCAATCTGTTTATCTTTACTTGGATGTTTAATTAAATAATTAATTTAAAAGTTAAGTTTCTAAAGTTATTTTTAAATGAAGATAGTATTTGGCTAACTTGTGCTTTGAAATCATCCCCAGATTCGACGTCAAGCAATTAAAGAGCTGCCTCAGTTTGCCACTGGAGAAAACCTTCCTCGAGTGGCAGACATACTAACCCAACTTTTGCAAACAGGTACGGGATGTCACTATTACTACACCTTTTTAGCACAATTATCATTGCTTTCTGAAACAGTCACTGTGTAGTTTTAGTTTGATTTTACTTTTGACTAAAGGGCCTGCCTCTGATAGAGACAAACCTAATTTTGTCCTTTCAGTAGTCTGACGCCTGATTTAATGTCTCCATTATGTATTTCCTAAGGAGCTCTGGTAGCGTAGTGGTTACGAATCGGACTGCGAACCTTAAGATCAGCGGTTCGAAACTATCAGCCGCTCTGCGGGAGAAAGATGAGGCTTTCTACTCCCGTAAAGATTTACACCCTCGGAAACCCTGTACAGGGTCGCTATGGGTGGGAACCTACTCGACGGCACTTAACAACAACAACAACATTATGTATTTCCTACAGCTGTATGATTTTGGTTTTGATTCTGTTTACAAAAGGAATTTGTGATGCCTCGTGACTTCCCTCCTCATCCCCTCCATTTCCATAATTTCTTAATTGTACTACCTGCCCATACAGCTTTTCCAGGTGTGCTTATCAGGTTCTCTACCCCTACATGGAAGATGCCTTTTTTTGGTATGAGAGAGAATTACTCAGTTATACATCTCCTCTCAACACAATTGTTAAGAAACTATGTTGAGTCTTTGAAAATGAGTCAGATGATAATTCTGATTTCTTACTGTGGCACTTTTCTGTTCTCCAGATGACTCTGCAGAATTTAACTTAGTGAACAACGCCCTGTTAAGTATATTTAAGATGGATGCAAAAGGTAAGACCAATTCATGTTCTGAATTGTTTGATGTCTTAAAACATTAGGAGCTTGGCATTACTCATTAAGAATCCAATTAAAGATAAAGGCCAGATTTTATTTTATTCCTTTTTTATAACATCTAAGTCTGGAGTTCACCCAGAGATCTGTTTTGTGGCGGGGGGAGGGATTTTAGCTGTCAAGGTATGACTTAGAAAACCAGCAGAATAGTTGTTAGTTTACCATTAGAGAACTCCCTTTGCTCCTTTAAAGAAATTCTTCCACAATTCCTGGATTTGATTCGTTTCTAATTTCATTATTAATATTGTTAAAAGGGAAAGTCCTGCTAAGCATGTGTATGCTGTATCCACTTCAAACTTGTTACCACCAGTCTTGATGGTTTATCAGCTCATTTAAGAAGAAATACTATAAGTTGAGTTGCATTATAGTATTTCATTACACTCTAGTCATTCGGTTGCTTGGCTTACAATATAGAATTGAAATGCTGCGTTTAACTTTTTTGTGTGCAGGGACTTTAGGAGGTTTGTTCAGCCAAATACTTCAAGGAGAAGACATTGTTAGAGAACGAGCAATCAAATTCCTATCTACAAAACTTAAGACTTTACCAGATGAAGTCTTAACAAAGGAAGTAGAAGAACTTATATTAACTGAATCCAAAAAGGTAAGCTTCAGTCATCACTTAGAACTTGACTAAAGCAAAAAGTTGTATTTGAAATTAGCAGCGTTTATCATGTACTTTATGTATTTATTATGTACTTTATGTTTATCAGTGCTTCATGTACTTTATGTATCAAGTTGCATATCCCATTAGAACCTCTGTAGAGCTGCTTCATGATTTTCTTGTCTTGTACTTCACACTATGGCCACTTGTAATGATGAATTAGTGTATTCGTTTTAAAGATAATAGTCACAGTTAAGTCCTTTGTGGTGTTATCCTCACAGCTTATACACCCTTCGGAACTGTACAACTTACCTCCTTCAGGAAACTCCTTAATCCTCATTTACATCTCAGGCTGCTCTTCCATAATATTCAGGATTATTACTCAATGAAATATATTATCACAATGAAATGACCTTTTTCATTCTATCCCATGTGACTATCCACTCTTCAAGAGCATGAGTCCATGCTGTCTCTGCTCCCAGCATCTGTCTAGCATAATTTTAGATTTTAAGGACTCATAAAGTATGCTAAAGTGTCAAAACATTGGGAGTTTGTGTATGTTTGTACACATTCTGGAAGAGTCACAGTTTCCTCTGTGATAACACTGTGCACTTGCTCCCTGATAGGATTTCTTTAGTGATAGAGAAAGAACATTTCTTCAGCTGGGAGTATCAGTCATCAGATGTTATCTGTACCCTTGCTAGTAATGGTGAAGTAGCTACTTTGATCAGTGAACAGAAGGATTTAGACCTACTGATTTAGAAAATAATTTATAGTTTTATAAATGCTGTTAAAAATGTATATGCACATTATAGTTAAGCTATGAAAGAGAATAGTTAATTCTATTGGGGAGAAGGATTAAAAGATATTTTGTGTTAATCCAGTTTTCGATTTTATGTTCAATTAACATTGTGACTGAAGCGGCATTTAAATATATGAAACCTCTTCAGATTTAGCAGCTTACTATATACTGTATGCATATCTGTGCTTTATACATAAAAAAGAAGAGTTTCTAAAACCAGTTTCTGCCTCCCTGTATATGAACACGTGGCTAGTACTCTGAAGTTCAGTGGACTGGAGCTCGAAATGGTCCTTTTCATCAGTATGTCACAGCATTAATAGCAAACTGACTTTAGTAGCTGAAATAAATTTGCTATAGTTTCAGTATTGATCTTTCTCTCCCATTTGGGCACTAAAGGTACTATCTATTCTAAATTGTCTCTGCAGGTCCTGGAAGATGTGACAGGCGAAGAATTTGTTCTGTTCATGAAGATCCTATCTGGGTTAAAAAGCTTACAGACAGTGAGTGGAAGACAGCAGCTTGTTGAGTTAGTGGCCGAGCAGGCTGACCTGGAACAGACCTTCAACCCCTCAGATCCTGACTGTGTTGACAGGCTCCTGCAGTGCACTCGGCAGGCAGTGCCCCTCTTCTCGGTAAGCCATTTATTTGATGTATTTTCAGTGCTCTATACCCTTAATACCGCAGAGTGAGTATGCTCTTGAGGGGGACGTCAGCACCCAAAGCAGCAAGGAAGGTCTTTTATGTCTTCCTTAAAAGATTTTTTAGAATATGAAAATCGTGTGTTTTACTTTGTATTGTACCTCATCTAAATACATGATCTAGTCATTTAAATTTTTTTCCTTAAATTTTCTAGCAGATTGTAGCTGTAGGAAAATACCCTCTTCATCTCTCACTTTGTTTCCCCTCGCAGTAAACCTGCTGGGGTACGCCTACTGCAGTTTGAAAAATAACAGTTTTTAGGGCCTATTCTTTGAGTTCAGAGGCCACACAAAATTTTAGCCCACAGTTTGTTCCGAGAATTAAAGAAGAATTCAAATATATTTCATTGAATGTCATTCTGTTTGATTTTTTTTTCTCTACAGCTCAATCTTCTTATAATTTTTTGTTTCAACAGAAAAATGTTCATTCTACAAGGTTTGTTACTTATTTCTGTGAGCATGTTCTTCCAAACCTCAGTTCCTTGACTACCCCAGTGGAGGGTCTTGATATACAGTTGGAGGTAAGAGAAAAGTTCTGATTTAGTACTAAAAGCAGTCTCATATTTTAACCAGGTTTGACAGTTCAAGCCGCTCCTTGGTAACCCTATATAGGGTTATGAGTCAGAACCAACTTGAACAACAATTTAAGTATGATTTCTAAGGGAGTAATTTAAATGTTTGGCAATGACTAGCCAGGATTATTTGCATAGAAATCTTTATGGATTCAATTAAAGTTTACCAGTGTGGATGTGGTGCTTGAGGATAAGCATTGTACTGTGAACCTACCAGGTACTCCTCAGAAACCCAGTAACAGGGTCACTATGAGTTGGAATTGACTCGACAGCACTTAACAATAACAACTGTGGGTAAACACTGCCTGTTTCTACTGTACCTCTGGTGTCTTTTGTACCCTTGATATTTTAAAATAAGGTGCTTCATTTTTTAATAGTTTCCTTATCTGTCCATAATGGATGGAGCTAGATTTGAAGTGGATTAACAAAGAATATCCGTTAAGCTGTGTCTCCAGTAGAAATGAAATAGTCCCATTTTTTAAATCTTAATTATAATGTGCATATACACTTACAACAGCACTTATAATGCTTTTTATCTGTTTCTTATAGCTGCCCCACATTTCACTGATTTACCTTTGAATCTCTAAATATATAGTGTAGCTCTTGATCTTGATTGTGATTTGGGTTTTATGAAAGGCATTTAATACCAACTGCTGAATGGAACAGCGGCATATGAAACACACTTGCCATTTCCCTCCTACATCTGCAAAGTGTAAAAGGCAGGCGTGTGTCTCTGAATTTTATTTCTTCGGCTCAAAGTCTTAAACTGTTATGTTATCTGGAATCATTCTAATTTTACAGTCCTGTACATTTAAAACAAATAAAACTGTAGTAACAACCTTTGAATTGTGTGTTTTAGGTTTTGAAATTGTTGGCAGAGATGAGTTCATTTTGTGGTGACATGGAAAAGCTTGAGACAAATTTGAGGAAACTATTCGATAAGTTATTGGTAAGATCTCCTTTTCATTCCTTATGGCGTACTCTAATAATTGAAGATTAATTTCAGGGTTATAGAGAACTAGATTTTGAAATTAGACAGTCATTTTAACAAGTGTTATTAGCTGCTTAAACCATATGCGGACTACCTGAGTAGTATCAGGGTGTGTAGGAGTTTTTTTCATTTCCAAATATAGTTTAAAATCCCACTGACAGTGAGTAGATCCCAACTCATAGTTAAGCTTTTTAAGCTCTGATCAGCATTGCATGTTTACCCTGAAGTGATGCATCCAAATCTGTGGTCTTTTCAGACCTGCACTACGTATTGTATGTTGAAATACTGATAATGGATACCTTTGACAGTACTTTAAATGCAGTTAGAGTTAATAATAGAACAGTATAGGCTAATGTTCAGAAAATTCTTTTAAGATTAGTGTAGTGATTCAAGGAATCAACATTTGATTTAAAAACAACAACAGTAAACTGAGTGCCTTTGTCACCACTGAAAGAAGTTATATAAGCTCTGTGACCCTCAAGTCTCTCAGCTGTGTAAGTGTCTGATTAGCGACTTTCATAATTGATAGTAGTAGTCGAAGGTGAAACACAGGTGTAAATGGAGAGTTATCTATCGGGCTAGAGCATTGATCCAATGTGTGAAAGTGAAACCTTACTTAAGCTTCTGGAGTTGGTAGATTTTAATGCTTCATGTCTTAAAAACATACTCTATAATTACTTCATAGCTGTTTAGTAATTAGGATTTATATAAGATTATAAACATCTCAGTATTTTCATCTCATAGGAGTACATGCCTCTCCCTCCGGAAGAAGCAGAAAATGGGGAGAATGCTGGAAACGAAGAACCTAAGCTTCAGTTCAGTTACGTGGAATGTTTGTTGTATAGCTTTCACCAGTTGGGTCGAAAACTTCCAGATTTCTTAACAGCCAAACTGAATGCAGAAAAGCTCAAAGATTTCAAAATCAGGTGAGGTATGATTGAGGTGATCTTCTCCTTGGCAAAGGCGGCAGTAGTGACCTTGAAGCTTTGTACTGTAGTTTGTTTCTGGTGTTTGTAAGACCTTTCATTCACCGTACCTTACCCCCCCTGAAAGGGAGCCAGAATACTCTTATCAAACCTTACCAAGGGCTGACCTCCCAGGAGCTGCAAGACCAGGGATCTGATGGGGAGGGGAGCAACCTACCTAGATTCAGCTCCATTGTTGAGAGTTGAACCCAGCCTTCTTGCTGGCAATTTCATGGATCATCCATTAAGACATTAAAAATTACAGTAGCTTACTTTCGGAAGATAGGGTAGAGACACAGCAAAACTGACCCCAGAGATGAAGAAAATGGAAGCTTTTTACCAGCTTACATGGAACAAAGTGTATCATTACTGATTTTGGGTCTTGGCTAAAAGTGAAGGTGACTTCAAATACTTACCTGAAGATTTAGGCCTTCAGCATAGATTACCTTAATGTAAAGAAACAAAAATCCTCACAGTTGGACCAGTCAGGTACTTTATAATTAACAAAAGATTTATTTTGTCAAGGATTTAATTTTACTTGGGTTATAATTAACATCCGTGGAAGCAGCAAATAAGACATCAAATGATGTATTGCATTGACGATTCTGCTTTGAAGTATTTAAAGGCCGAGATGTTACTTTAAGTGCACCTGACCCAAGCGATGGTATTGCCAATCACCTCTTAGTACAAAAGTGTATAGAGTGAATAAGGACGCTGAAGAAGTGTTGATACCTTTGAATCAAGGTCTTGGTGAGGACCCAAACAATAAAAATTTACAAGATATTAAGGACCGAAACAATAAAAAATAACCTTTATCTGACAGATACAGATAATAGAAAGTAGGGTTATTCGCGCTCTGATATGTGGTCCTTACAAGTATATATGAAAACATTTATAAAATTAACAATGCGTGTTATTTCTGAAAGGAAGACTTAATACATTTCACAAAATATTGATAACAGCAGTCAAGGTACACAGTAAAAATTTGAGGGATGTGATTGAAGTAGTACTTTAATTAAATGTACATAAATAGTCTTAAATATTTTTATTTTAATAAGATGTATAAAGGAATGTTGTTGTTGTTAAGTGCCATCAAGTCGATTGCAACCCTGTATATAAGGTTTCTGAGGAGCGGCTGGTGAGATTGAACCACCAACCTTGAGGATCAGACCACCTTTGTAGTCCAGCGCATTAACCCACAGCACCACACCAGGAATAAAAGGTGTTAACTGGGAACTGAAAAAGGGTTATATTTTAAATACAATAGACATCTTTTAAAAGTAAAAACAAAATCATGTAGACAGATTAGGCAAATTAATTTTTTTTTTCGAGGTGGCATTTTATTGAAAGTGGTTTTTGAAAATTTAATCAGGAAAAATATTTTTAAACCAGAAATTTTTAACAGCATAGCCATTATAGAAATTGAATAGATAAAAATATTTGATAACAGACAAGATAGTTCTACAAAATTCTTAGCAAAGTTTCAAATATACAGAGATTAAGTAACCCCATTTTATACAAACATGTAGGAGAGAAAAAAGAATGATGATAGTTCATTGAATTTAGTTAATTAAATGAGATAATGTAGAACTTTTAAACAGGGCTTTGAATTTATTCTTCCCAGTTAAGGCGTAGCCAATGAAGCAAAATGGGAAGAGATCCAAATTTGTAAACTGAGTGTACCAAGATGATAACAGGAACAGGAAAAATTATGGGCCCCCACCCTGTTAGAAATTCACTCTCCGTCGTAGAAAACCACGGTGGTATGCTCAAAACTCTTGACAAGCCGAGTTGGAAACAGCCATGCCCAGCTCAGATCTGGTGGTGACCACTGAGCACTGTTAACTGTAGCTGTCCTGGCAGTAATCTACTCTCCCAAATCCAATTCCTGAAAGGGCTCACTAGGCCTCTAATGAGTCTTCCACTCTAGGTCCTTGACCCATCATTTTTTATTCTAGTAATTATTCCAAAACACATTTTAAATTTTTGGATTTGTTCCCATTTTGATGTGTTATCCATGACTGAAACAATCTGAAACAAGCAATTTAAGAAAGCACTCTAATTTATTGGTAACATATTGTGTATCCGTTTTTCTGTACTTAGGATCATTTTGCTATAATAAAAGATCACTTGAGTTTTAAAACAAAGTTAAAGAGATGATATGCTAATTAGAAACATTTCTTCATTTAGGCTTCAGTACTTTGCCCGGGGCCTGCAGGTATATATCAGACAACTTCGCCTGGCTCTCCAGGGTAAAACAGGAGAGGCCTTAAAGACAGAAGAGGTAAGAGTATTGGCCCACGTATCCAATAATACTCACTATTTATTACAAGTTGTAAATATGAATAATAATTGAAACCATCAGTTCATAGATTGAAATGTGAAATTTTACTTTGCTTGAATAAAATGCACATCTTTGTTGAAGTTATAATATGACATTAGATTATATTGAGTATTTGTTAACTATTTTTTTAAATCACAGTTGATGAAATATCTTGTTTCAATGTTTTCTAATAGTGTTTGTTGCCAAACATAGGTGATACTTACCAGCCTTTCATTAGTGTCTCGGCAGCACATTAGGAAAAAACAAACAAACTTGATGGTCATCGTTTTAATTTCATCATTTTAAAACTCAAATCTTAATTTACAGGAGAAAAAGAAATTAACTTCTAATTCTATACCAAATTATAGGTGTTTGTGTTGTGATACTTGGTTTTCCTTGATCTCAACAGCTTTAATCGGTCTTCATCCCAGTCTTAATGAAATACTTACATTTTAATACCTACAGTTTAAACTGATTTATTTTTTTAATTCACATGTGATTATGATCTTTCTCTTAATCTGGCTGTTTGGTAAACTATAGGTAATACTTTACTATCACTTTAGTATTCCTGTCTGTCAAGTGAACATAAAAAGATTACTTGTTTTCTCTATCGTCTCTAGACTTGCTTAGAATCAAGAACTAGGAATAAACACTGTTTATAGATTCTAACCACAGAATTTCTAACTGTACAAATGATTCTGAAAGATAAGTGTAATTACTTGAGTTCTGATTTGGAATGGAGCGTACATCATAAAATGTTACTGGAATTTTAATGTTTCCCTTTGCAGAACAAGATTAAAGTTGTTGCATTGAAAATAACAAACAATATCAATGTTTTAATCAAGGTAAGTTTTCAAAAATGGGACTAATGATAAACCTTAATGTTAATCTCAAAATCCTATTGAATAATTCACCTTTTATTAGAAGAGAGAGGGAAACTTCAGAAAAAGTAACAGTACAAATGCTAGTGGGCTGTAGGGCAAACACTGGACCACAAGGTTGGTTTGAACACAAGATTGGCGGTTCAAACCCACTACCAGTTCCTTGGAAATCTTATCCTATACAGGGTCAGTGAGTCGGAACCAACTGGACAGCACTTACCAATAACAACAATGACCAAATTCAAGGAGATGAAAGCTTCCATTCAGGAACTCATAAGTGAATGAAAGATGACTGTAGCAGGAGGGTGTTGGAGAAGAATGATATCTAGGGTCAGCAATTAGGGGTGTTGCCAGAAAATCGTGAGCTACATTTTCAGTGGGATAGGAGTGTGTGTGACGTAATCAGTCCATTACTTTGACAGACGTCACATGGAAAACTGGTGTGCTTTGGTCCATCTGTGGCATTTCCCACAATCTTTATATATATGGTTTCTACCTGGCAGACTCGTAATTCCACAGCGTAACCTTCTTCCTGTCTCAGTCACAGCATTGGTGGTGGTGCATTGGTGGTGGTGGATCTGTGTCGTGGAGTCAGTCCCAACTCATAGCGATCCTGTATAGGGTTTCCAAGGCTGTAAATATGTATGGGAGCAGAAAGCTTCATCTTTCTACCCTGGAGCAGCTGGTAGACTTGAACTGTTGACCTTGAAGTTAGCAGCCCAGTGCTTAAACCACTACACTACCAGAGCTCCTTCTATGCTAAATCCCTCCAACTAGAAGCCTCACAAGAGCTTTTGATTAAACTACTTTATATTGGCCATTTGTCTGCATTTATCTGGTGTATTGCACTAAGATTTTATATAGTAGATAATTCTTAACAGCACATTTGTATAACTATGGAAAAACGTTTCTTAAATCACATGTTACTTTCAGATAAAAATTAAGGGGGAGTGTTTAAAGACATGAATGTTTTTGAAGATATTATATGGTTATATAATTTCAACTCTGGATAATTTAAATATTTTAAATTAGTAAATTGTATTTTTACCATATTGATTCTTTGGTATGTAAATCTTAACGGAGTTTTCCTTCATTGAGGGGAAGAAAGAAGATTCCGTAGGCAAGGCTGAAACACTTGAGTGCAGGAAAAGGTAGAGGTTGCTGTTGCTTACCACACCTCAGTGGCTGTACCTGGCAAAGGTCAGCCTACGGTGTAAGCGTTGGTGAAGGTTGATATTTTATCCTGAAACTTGAAATTACATTTAGAAACAAACTTCGATAATGTTTCCTGTGCATTGCCACACAGTGTAGTTAATGAAGCAATAGGTATAATTTGTAAACAAAATTTTCCCTTTTTATTGTCACCAGTACTGAAGCAAGGTTAAGCTAAAGTTCTTCTCCTTAAATTCCTCTTTGTGCCTTTTGTCTCTTTAGGATCTCTTCCACATTCCTCCTTCCTATAAGAGCACAGTAACACTATCCTGGAAACCTGTACAGAAGGTTGAGTTGGGGTAAGAAATGTATTTCAAAGAGCCCTGAGCCTGATTTAAGATGCAAAATCTAACTTTAATATTTGTAAAATAAACTAATAGAATGCAACCCTGGGACTTTCAGATTTTTTGTGTGTGTTCCTCTGGCATAAGTAGACTTAATATGATGAATCATTCCTGCATAGTCTATGCAGCTGTGTGTTTCAGTCCTGTGGCTGCCCTCTGGCAGTGTCTACATAACCAAACCACAGTTAATGGATCAGATCCAAACGTTACTCCTTTTTTTTATGTTGTGACTAAAATCTTTAATGTGTCTTTAGTAGATAATATGCTAAAAATTAAAGATTAAAAGTTTCCATAACGCTATAGAGGGTTGCTGAGTCACACCCAACTTAATAACAATATGCAATATAAATTATAAACATTGATAGCCTTTGCCATAATAGAATATATTGTTGTTCTTACCATTACAGACAAAAAAGAACCAATGAGGATACAACTTCAGGTTCACCACCTAAGAAATCTACAGCAGGACCAAAAAGGGATGCCAGACAAATTTATAATCCTCCTAGTGGGAAATATAGCAGCAATTTGGGCAACTTGAATTATGGTGAGCGTTTCCGTTTGGGTACAAGCGGTATGTGAAATGAGGCAGAAATTGTGCTGTACTTGATTTTCATTTGAAATTACATGTTGTATCTTAACTCTTCAAATGACTTTTCTGAGTTTGCTTGGGGAATTAGGGCTGTTGGGAAAACAACTTTTCTAACTTCTTACTGACCCTTGTGGGCTCACTGGATGAAGCATGTAGTACTTAATATTTAGACAGAGATGCCTCTTTAGAGTCAGTGCTCCCAATACAAAGAAAGGAGGAGGTTGGCATGAACCACCCATCCCTTGTCTTCCCATTTGAGCTTCGAGGCAAGATATTCTTACATTTTGTTCATTTTCCCTCAGGGATAGACGTGGCTTCTGGCAGATGTGTCGTTAATGATCTTTTTGGACCTTGTCTGGCCTGCTGCTGCCCTCTTTAGCTAAAAAGAAGTCATAGAAGTAGAGTCAGTCTTGTCCCCTCTGTCCCGAGTGTAGTCCTTTGAGCAATTCCTTCTGCTCCCCATTAAGAGACTGGAGAGTTTCCCACTGGTCCATTCTCTCTCAGGCAGTTCAATCCCAGGTGAAGTCAGTCTCTTATTGGCTGGTTTGCTTGTAGATTATCTTGTTTAGGACACAATTTAATAATTCTAGCAACCAAACATGTTTGGTCATGATTACCAGCAAGGTTAATTCTGAAGTATTTATTCATCAGCATATATTCTATTTCCAAGATGAAACAATGGTACTTACGTATATTCTTCTCTATAAAAGTTAGCTGTACAATTTACAGTGTCAGAAACTGGATGATTGCAAAGCGGCTTTAAGTCTTAACTGATTTCTTTTTATTGTAAAATATGAGCAAGCTTCTTGTTAAGTATTTTATATTTGGGAGTTTAATATGATCTTATTGAATAACAATTTGGAGAATTTTCTTAACCTTTTTTAAAATCACCCATTCAATTAAAAAACATTCTCAATACTGTAGAGAATTGGTGAATATGACGTACTTCAGTATTTTTTCCCACTTTTTGAGTGACCATTCTGTGGGGTCATGCTTCTCATCTGCTGTATCATTAGCATTCAGGGAACTGACAATACAGAGACAAGAGAAGCATGATGGGTCCCGTTCCCCCCACCATTACCTCCCACTCTGTTACATTAGTACTGCTGCAAATTTGGAAGGGAGAAATGTTTTTTATTCTTAGTTCTTTTATACATAGATGTTGCCCATATTAACAATTTGGTCCTAATTCCACTTTTCTATATTAACCAAATTCTTGCTGTGTTAATTCTCCTTGCTATATGAGGTATTGTCCAGTATCTCATAAACACCAAACATACTTAGTGATTTGTGTCCTTCACCTTTTCTCTTCTTAGAATATGTTTTTAATAAGTGTAATTTTGATGAAGCAGTGGTTTTCTAAATCATTAGTGATAAAAGTTTGAGACCATTGAAGAGATGGTGGGAATACAAAGTAACCCTTCAAGATGAAGCCCTTCTAAAAGAAGAAAATGTGATCAATCCCTGTAGAAATGGCTCTTCTCAGTTGATAGGCAATGTAAAAAGGATGCTCATGTGTATTAACAGTGTATTTCATAATACTCATTAGATGCAGCTGAACAATTGAGGTTAACTGAGTTGTTGACATTGGAACTGGTTCAAAGTGTAGATTTTAATAATATGGTGTAGCATATGACTAATAGTTATAAAGAATGCTAATTTGCTAAAAGTGTATGGATGTTAACCGTATATAACTTAGAGATGGAAAATGAAGATGTTATCATGGTAAAAGCTGGGTAACAATGTGCAGACATATACAGAGACGGGCACAATCTAGACAGTCACAGTGACAGGCGTCGTGGCCCTGCATCGATCAGTGAGTCTCTGGGAAGCCGAATCATGCTCCTGACAAGATTACTGCAATGAGGAAGTTTTCGAATCCAATGAAGAGATTTGATGGCTGGAATTAGGAGTCTCAAAGTATGATGAAGAGTACAGCCTTGGGATAACATCAGTCAACTTTCTTCACTGGAAAGACTCCTTTCAAGAATACTTCTCTGGGGTTTTGAGAGAGGGTGATCAGGTCACCAAAGACTTTCATTTTACCATATGACACAAGTGACTTGATTTTTCCCCAGAAGGGATAACTTAATTTACAGTAGTAAAGCAGACACTGGATGTGTATGTATGAGACATCTCTTTGGCAGCACTTTGTGCAGCTCACATAGCTGGTAAAGCAGTGAAAGTATCTGTAGGCAGTGAACTATCTATATTTATGGGAGTACGGGTTTTAAATTTTGTGATTGAAACAAAAGAAATGTGTCTATTCCATTTGAAAGTACATTTTCCCGTTTACCCTGATTCTTTAAAATTGATCATGAGTAGTCTGATAGTCTACATATGTGACCATAGCTTTAAAAAGCCATTGGCTTTGCTGTTCATTCCAGATTAAGTATGAGCATCATCCATGAGTGTATTAGGCTACTTGCCATATGTACTTCAGGATACATGTGCCCATGTACTGAAATACAGAACACATTTGTAGACTAGCAGAATACCTATCTGCTCTTAGGGGGCCTACTGCTACATTCAGAGCTATGAACTGCATTTCTTCTGTGTTTGCTATACCATGAAGTCCCAAGCAAGACCTAAACCCTTGTTCGCTTTTTCTTAGAGCAGAGAGGAGCCTTCAGGGGAAGTAGAGGTGGACGAGGTTGGGGAGCACGAGGAAGTCGTAGTCGGGGAAGACTCTACTGAATAAGACATCACATTCTTCAGCATTGTAATGAGCTTAATAGACTTAAATTCTACTATTCGTTGGATTGCCGGGGATATCCCTTTAAAAGGACTGCTGCCTTCAGCTAAGAATTTAATGTTCTTTATACCTTTGTATGTATGACCTACTTTTGTAACAGACCATGGTTGTGTCCAAAGTAAGAAACCACAGTGATATTTTTGGATGCTTTATCAACAATCTTGACTTGTTTTTGCAATGTCATCATTATTCAGACTTCATGTTGTGACTCTTCCTTTAAACATCTTGATAATTCGTTGAGAGCAGTTCAAGTCTAAAATGTATTGAAATTCAGTCTTGTTTCTGAAAACTAGTATAGATCATCAGTTTTGAAAGGTTACTGATTTTCCTTTCTCCTCTGTCTTTTTTGCCATCTGCCTTTTTTGTATATGGAGAAGAGTAATGGGCATTCTTAAAGTTTTACTTCCGGCATTTTAAAATAATAAATTGCTAGGCCATAGTGTAGCATTGTTTCTTAGTGTTATAAAAATAAAACACAACTTTCTCCAAACATAGAAATGACATAACATTTTTATGCAGAAGTCAGACTTTGCACTGCTTACATAACTCTTCTCCACTATGATGATGTAAACTTTTGAACATGAATCTTACTATTGATACTACAAATATGTAGGAATAACATACATAGCTTATATGTGTGTGTGTGTGTGTGTGTGTTTCCACACACACACACATACTATGGACCTTGACTGCACAACATATTTAAATCATTATTTTAAATTCCAAGAATGGGTACTCTTTGACACAGTGATTATCTTTTTGAGTATGAAGAAGCCTTTATTGATTTGTCATGTAGATGTTTTTCCCCCAGTAACAAGGAGTTTTGAGTTAGTTGTACCTACATGATTATTGTTATTTAAAAATAAAGGCTGCAATTTCAAAGATAAGTTTAGAAATCCCTGTTGTTACCTACAGCCAAAATATCCGATCAGATCTGATGTACATACAGACTTCTACACAAGGAGAGAGTGTCATTTAGAATTTGGGGTTTAGTAACTAGGGGTACCCAGGAAAACTGACTTGATAACATGGTGTAGTGAGAAGAGATGCTCTCTTGGTTTGTTTTTGCCACTTTCCAGATTTTAACTTCTCAGGTTATTAATCAAAATTAATGTATATGTTAGTCAATAGACTCTAGGTTTAAGCAACAGATGGGGGGTTTGTGGAGTGTTTAATGTCATGGGCATTTTTAGTAGCGTAGGCTCTTGCTCTGCATTTGAATGTTTCCTATATTTTCGTTCAACAGTTAATCTTCCCTCCCCAGGTTTGCTATTCAAATCAAATCCTTAAAGACATTTTCTAGTAGTTTGATGTATTTTTTGAAGAATAGTCTGTGACTGTTAATATGTTATTAGATACTTTTACTGCATAATGTTTATGGGAAAATGTTTTCTAAAGGCTAGAATGATACAAGTGAGCGAAGGAAATTGGTCAGCTTGATTATGGAGTGGTGGCAATAATCTCTAAACATTCCAGAAGACTATGAGCTGAACCTGAGCTTTCTTGGAATCTGAACAGACATAGGAACATGCAGTTGGCATTTGAAAACTGACTGACTAGACTGAGCATCAAAGGCAGATCAGCCACTTCAAGCATGGAAATGGTATAGAGACTACAGCTCTAAACATATAAACAGTAAGGGTAACTTTACTCTTTTTTTTTTTTTTTTTTTTAAGTTTATTTGTAAACTCAAAGCTGAACGGAAATGATTTTGCTTTCTAAAGTTTAATATTGAGTTTGTGTTCCTTCCCTACTGTTCCCCTTCCATAAAGCAATAGTGTACAACTTAGGCTATTTTTCGCTTGAAAAGTTTGAATGAGAAACTTTATGCCATGGATTTTTTTTTTTCCTTTTGCAAGACACCTGTTTATCACCTGTTCAAACGTAAATGTTCCCTTATGCTTTTGAAATAAATTTCCTTTTGTAATTTTGCTTTGTGTGTTGATGGGTTATCATTTGAATTACTTTCTTGGATATTCATTAAACATTTACTGATGATTGCCTCTCACATGTCACGGTAGTATGCCAGACATGAAAATATAAATATGGACAAAATAGCATTCCACTTTCAAGGAGTTTAGTCTTGATATAATCTTATAAATCTTTCATTTTTCGTTCATTAGAGTACTGACTTGGATTTAATTTTAGAAGCTAATACATTTCTGAAAAGAAAGATTTGGTTATCAAAATGAAGTCACTATGAAATCCATCATTTCCATCCTCAATATGTTAAGCAAGGTTGGAACTTCGTGACTACCAGTCTTTATTAAAGTAACACGGAAGAATTTGTAATTCAAGGTTTCAATGAATCAGGACTAGATAACACAATTCCTTTGGTGATCGTATTCACTTCTATTGATTTAAGTAGTCTATGATGGCCAAATGTCTATCTTTACCATTTCTTGCTTGGATTTTAATCATTGATCTCCCTGCCATTATACTTAACTCTATAGTCTATTCAAAAACAGCAGCAGAGACATCATCTAAAACAAAACCAGTCATAATCGTATGTTTCTACTCAAAGCTGTTTAATGGTTCCCCATTTCAGAATAAAAGCCAAAATCCTTGCCATGACATTTAATCTCTGACGTCAACACTGTTCTCCCCTCATTCATCTGCCCTAGCCAGGCAAAGACCTCAGAACCTTAAATGATTCAGAAACTTAAAATTAGTTCCCTCTACCACCTGTCTAACTCAGCTCCATTCAAGTCTTCTCCAGAAACCCTGTTTAATAAATACTACAATGCCCTTATCTACTTCACCAAGAATTCTAGTCCCACTTTGCTGTACGTTTTTCTCCATAACATGGACCAACTCCTGGTGTACCATATAATTTACTTAGGTATTGTTTAGTGTCTGTCTCTCCCTGCTAGAAAGTAATATGGGGGGGGGG